CAGAAAGGCAAGGACCTTTTCAGTCTTGTTCACTGTTGAATCCCCAGTGCCTAGAGTTTCAGAATCTAGTACAGAATAAATGTTCAGTAATAGTCATTGAATATTGAAGGTATAAATATTTTCATGAGGTTTCATTGAGGTAGTTGGACCTTGCAATTTATAGTAGACCCAGTACGATGAATAGTCAGAAAGGATCTGCTTAACTACTAATGATTAGGAGTGTTGAAAGACTAGACTCCTTGCAATAACAGAAATAATGTGAATGAGGATAATAGTGGGTCAGAGGAGAAAGGCTTGTATTGAGGAAGGTGCAATCCAAGAGAAAAAGTCTCTAACATCTCAAAAAAAAAGTATGTAAGGAATGGCTATCCTGATTTATGAATCTTACAAAAAAAAAAAAAAAGGAACAATGGGGGAAGAGGTGGCAATGTGGGATAAGGGCCAGATGTAATACCTTAATCAATAAAGAAATAAAAGAAGTAACAACAAAATTATAAGTGCTTAATACATATTTGCAAGGTTGAATTAATGCCTCTGAGACATGATAATTTTATGAGTTCCATACGGGTTTGAAATTAAAGAGGCATGGGGTAACTTTAAAGATCACTTCATACCCGAGTCTACGTGATCGAATGAATTAAACCAGAGATCACTGACAATAATATTCTCAGGACTTCCCTGTAGTGCTCTTACTTATTCCTTGAAAGGAAAAACAATTCCCAAAAGGAAACAGTGGCTTAGTAAGAATATTATCATGGTTAAGAGCACATAATGTAAAATAGGGATTATAATAGCTACCTCACAGGTTTACTGGTATTATGTAGATAAAATAAGATGACATATTTTAAAATGGCTCAGCAAGCTATTAAGCTACACACACACACACACACACACACACACACACACACCATGGAGGAAACTTAAACGCATATTCCTAAGTGGAAAAAAACAGTCTGAAAAGGCTACATGCTGTATGATTCCAGCTATATGCCATTCTGGAAAAAGCAAAGATATAGAAACAGTGACAAGATCAATGGTTGCCATGGGTTGGGGTGGGAGAGGAAGGGAAGGATGAATAAATGGGGGAGCTAACCCAGTCATAGGGATTAGAGCCCATACCTCCTCTTAACTTGACTACATGTGCAAAGACCCTATATCCAAATAAGGTCACATTTGGAGATACTGGGATTTAGGAATTCAACCCTAATTGGGAGTACACAATTCAATGCAAATATGGAAGAAATTATGGGCAGAGGTGAAGGAGAGGGAATATATGGGAACTTGGTACTTTCTGTTCATATTTTTTAAAGCCTAAATCTACTCTAAGAAATAAAATACATTGATTTAAATAAAAGTTGTGTGTTTTTTTGTTTGTTTTTTTTAAAAAGCCCAGCTCATAGTACATACTCAATAAATGTTAGTTATTTTAGAACTCAACTAACTTATTCAAAGTCCCAGACACTAAAGGTTTTATTCTTGATGTATTTCAAAACCAATATTGGTGCTGCCCCCAAAGACTTTTTCCCCCACCCACTCACCATTCAGTTTATGATAATTTGAGGGAAGATAAGACTTAGTTTTCATCACATGATTCTCCCCCTAATAACTGAGTACTTACGATGTCATTATCAAAAGGAAGGAAAGCATGTTTAAGTGATTTGAAAACTGTAACACTGACTTATTATCTAATTACAGCAGCATAGGTGTGCCCTGGTTGTTTTTTAGTTGCTGTTAATCTTCACCTGAGGATATTTTCCCATTGCTTTTTAGAGAGAGTGGAAGGGAGTGAGAGACAGGGAGAGAAAAACATCGATATGAGAGAGACATGCCATTTGGTTGCCTCCCACACATGCCCTTGACTGGAATTGAACCCAGGACCTTTCAGTCCACAGGCCAACGCTCTATCCACTGAGCCAAACCGGCCAAGGCTGGCATGCCCTGTTTTAAGGGGATCCCATATTTGAGAACCCATATTGAAAAGACAGATATATCAATAGGTAATGGTTCATTTGCCTTTGTAAAGTGCTTTTCCCCCTTTACAAAAGGAAGTCACATGACTACAATTCCCCCAACCTCACCCCCAGCACAAAAATCTAGCTTTTCATAAGACTTTTCAAAAGTCCATCTGTCCCGTTCATTGGCATGTCCCTCCTTTAGCCCGCCTGTCTCAGGCCGCTCTGTTCATTCGTGACACCCAGGAGCTCCACAGTTTACAGAATCTCTCTGCCTTGATGTTTCATCACTTCATTGGTTGAAGACCTGTTTCCTAATCAATGTTGCTGGAAGGAATTTGGCATTGACGGGGGCTGGGGGAGGAAATGAGAGATTACTAGCTGGGGACATGGAAGCTCCTGCTCTCAGAAGAGGGAGGGGCAGGGAAGTCACTCACAGTTGACGTGGATCCCCTCATATAAGAACATGCCAGCGATGTTCAGAAGTTCTGAGATACAGGGTGTGAGGATTAAGAAAGATCTTCAATTCCATGCTGTTGTGAAACCAAGAGCCATTTTCACACACACACACACACACACACACACACACACACACACCCCAATGGAGAGTCACATCACACGGTACCCAGATGTGCTTTCTCCCCTCCCTCAGATAGACTCATCACATGTCCACAAAGAATAACACAGAAAGGCACTTGTCTAGGTAGACTCTCTATCTGTCTCTTTATCTCTCTTTTCTCTCTCCCTAAGTGCTATATATATATATATATATATATATATATATATATATATATATATTCAGCAGTATTTAAATGAGTACATAACTAGATAGGAATAGAATTTTTCTCTAGTTGGAAAAGAAAAACAGATAAGTAATGAAAGGTGAGGGGTAGGAGGAAAGGATGGGGAGGAGAAAAAGAATGTGTGTGAGAAGGAAGCCAGGGAGCTGCCCAGCCAAAGTGCCCACATGAGGCTGGTCAGTCTCCCTTCCCTTAGGGCACTTGAAGGCGGGCCACCGCCTGCACCTTCCCCTGCTGGACTCCTTGTCTCACCGCCCATGAGCACCTTCCCCGAGGCACCGGCAGAGAAGCGGAACCCCTGTAGCTCCCCAAGGCTGGCCGGCTGCTTAGCTCTGGTAAGGGAGGAGCGGAGGCTCAGAGGATGCTCTTCAAGCTACTTGGATAAATTAAGAAAAGTTAAATTGTTTGTCTCCGGACAGGCCTCCTTCCCCATTTCTGTTTGCTGTTGCCATAGTTATGGAGAAGTGGCTTATAGACAACAAAAGGCTTTATTGAAGGGAGGAAAGAGCGGAGTTGACTCTCCCTGCACTGTGCTCCGAACAGGAGCCCATCCCAGAACCTGCCGCTCACTTTTTTTTTTCTTCCCCCATTCTGATTCCTAGGATGAGACCAGGCTGGAAAAAGTAGAGAGAGTTCTCTTTGGTTAATGAAATAGTTTTTTTAAATAAATAGGAAAATGGATTCTTTTCTTCATAACAAGCAACATTTTAGAGAGTACTCTTGGTAGGAGTAAGATTAGAAAAACACCTTCCCATGTAAAAACCCCACATAAACACCAGAATTCAGATTTCTAAAAGATTTATAAGCCGTATAAGTAATACCCTGGGGCGGGGGTGGGGAGAGAAAGGGGAAACATCCAAACATTGGATAGTTTTGTTTTTGTTGGCTGAGGTTTTATTTTTGTTTGTGTGGGGTTTGTGAAGGGGGGTGGGGGTGGGGGTGGGGGCGGGGAGAGGAATGCTTGAAAAGAAAACCTGACCATTTATTTAAGAAGGGCTCTTTGACTTGGCTTCTTAAATCTTCAGTTTTGCTTTTTTGCTCCCTCCAACCAAGCTGCACTCGGGGATGGCTCCCGGTTCTGCAAGGCTCCCTGTTGGCCTGCGCAGAGCAAATGGCTCGTCTCATGTGCACCGAAAGGCTGGAAAGTATTTTTTTGTGATCCGAGTGCAGCGGAGAGTCTAGGATTCCAGAGGAAGTGGAGGCCTCCCGCTCCACACAGGAAACAATCTTCAAGCAGGCCTTAAACGCCAGATTCCAGGCCGAGTTTAACTAACCACTGACAGCTCTGTAAACAAAGCAAGGACAAAAAGAGCCGGCTTCCCCTTTTCTGGTAGTCATTCTGGGCTCGGGGGCTGCGGGGGAAATTCTGGAATACTTGACTCCATGGCACAGACGCGCAGGGGAGGCAGCGGGCTCCTCAGCTGAAGAGCTGGAAAGGGAGGATCTTTCTGGGATTAAAACCGTCACGGAGGAGGTAGGAGAGGATCCAACCGTGCCTTTTACCAGGAGCCGGGCCTTTTAAGCTCTGGGAACAGCTTGATCCTAAGGAAACCGCTTTTTGAGGGGGAAAAAAAAACAAAACAAAAAACGCTGCTGCGTTATGTTACTCGTGGTATTATTGCTGTGCTCTTTATCATCATTCTGATGCTAATATTCTTTTACGCTATGCAGATGAGGAGGCCTGGATAGTCGTGTTAATTTGTGTTGTCTTTTCTTTTTTCTCGTAGTTCCTACATGTTCCCTTTCTTGCCACTTTTCTGTTTTCCCTCTTTGCTTTCTTCTGCTCTTTGTTCCCTCTTTTTGTAACTTTTGTCCGTGTGTGGCTCCGCAAGTCACAAAGAACAAAACCTCTCCGAAGCTCTTAAGTGGCCCCATCAATATTTCTGGTCTTCAGAACCTCTCTGATTCCTGAGGTCTTTTTCTCTCTTTCTTTCTTTCTTTTTTTTTTTTTTTTTTTTTTTTAAACTGGAATCCTACTTATTTGCCTCAAATAGTTTCATGAATGAGACTGAACTTCACACAGAAAGGACTCAGCTCAGGAGTCAGAAATTGATCCCTGGCTACCGGATCAGTCTTCTGAGGTGTTTTTCTTAAGAGTAAAGAAAAAAAAGGAGAGAATGAAAAAACGGTGGGGGTGGCTAAAGCAATTCATCGTAGATAATAACTCGGACTCATCGATGATACTGATTCCACCTCCTCCCCTCTAGATCCAGACACCATCTGGTCTCCCGAACCCTGAACCCACGCCATGGATGACTTTGAACGTCGCAGGGAACTGAGGAGGCAAAAGCGGGAAGAGATGCGCCTGGAAGCGGAAAGGTAAGGGTCTGGGCTGAAAGATATTTTTGTGTTGTGTTGTTGACAGTGTTGGGGTCAGGCCTCACAGAGCATCACGCTGGAGGGCCAAGCGTGGCACACTAACCCGCTGGCAGCAGTCCTTACGGAAAGTTTTCCTGTGAGGCCTCCAACTTCTGCCTTAACAAACAAACATCAAGAAAAAGAGAGACTGCAGAAGAACCAAATAGTCGCATTCACTTAGGGCCTTTCAGAGTGGAGTTTTTAAATGACAAAGGCAGCGTGTGGAGGAAAGTTTCAGAAGCGGTGATACTATTAAAGTGACATGAAAATGACGAATATTGAATATTGAAACCATTTAGGAAATGGGAGTCTCTGTTTTTAAAAAAAAAAAAGTAAAGGCAGCAAATACCAGATGGATCTTGTGGCACATTTTTATTCTTACTAGAAAAGCATGCAGATGCAGGAATCTGTGTATGACGGGTTCGTAGCCAGTGGGTGTGTTACTGTGCAGATTCTGAGTCTAGTTGGAAGGCCCTTGTGTAGGGCCTCTGTTGTGATGACTTTAAGAGCAGGTTGGGGAAATGAAACAATGACATGTGAAGCACAGAATATAAATGCATATTTCAAATTTTTTACCTCAGAGCCAAGGACAGTGGCATTAGAAGTGGCTTAAGCCAGAGGGTCTTTAGAGAAAGCGGTGTTGGCATTGGCAGGAAGAAAAACGTTAAACAATGATCTTAAAATCAAATCAGTGTTGCCTCACAGTAATTCCGGGGCACAAATGACAAGGTGCTAGTAAGGGGATCCCTTAGCGATTCTGCAGGAGGGAACTGGAACTTACATCTACAACAAAAAGTTTTGGGGTCCACGGGCTCTATTTATTTGTCCAGAGAATGCAAAAGAAGGAGGTGAATTACCGCCTTTGATTAGCTTTGGTCAGAGTAGGCTGCCATTCATGAAATGTGTATGCACACACATGCAGGTACCTGGGCTCTTGTGGGTTCAAATCCCAGCTCTGCCACTTCTGAGCTGTGTGAGCATGAATGAGCAAGGGACTTCTCTCTGTCACAGTTGCCTTATTTATAAAATAGGCATAATGTCTACATAGTTTGTGTGCTTGTGAAGATTATTGAACTTCATAAATGACCTAGCTCAGTCCCTGACACATAGGAGGCTTCTCTAAATGGTAGTTATTAATTTTTTTAACCAGTAGCATTAACTAAATACGTAAGAAACAAACTATCAATATAGCCAGAACTAAACATGAACTCCAGGAGAAGGAAATGCAGTCCTCATCCTGTGATGAAACTAGCCAGGCAATGCTCTTGTGAAGTGGTAAGCCATGGAGAAGGCCATGACAGAAACAGAGTGGAAAGGGAGCCATGTAGGTGAGGGAATCATACCAGCAAAAGCCCAGAAGTGGAACTACGAATCTTGGTGCACAAAATCCGTTGAGTAATTGGGGAAGAGTAAGTGGGACTTGTACCTATTGGATGTTTCTATTTCACACAAAGAGCAATAGACAGAGACTTAGGAGGGGAGCAGTGTGTGATGAAAATGTTAGAAAACGTTATCTACAATGTACTAGAACATGGTGATACCAGCACTGAAGAGCTAGTATTGAACATAGAGTAATGAGAGTCTGAATCAGGGCAGTGAATATGAAAACAAAGATTGAATGTAGCAGGAGAATTAGCTAACCAATCAGGAGAGGGAGAAACTCAAAGACAATTCCAAGGAATATAAGTCCGAGGAGCTGGAAAGGTCTCTGTATTGTTCCAACTGGGAAACTGGGATGGGTTCCATTCTTGGATGGGTATCTGGGGAGAGTGTTTACTTTCAGCTAGAAACTGCACACAACGGGGCTTTCCTACAGGCCTTTGGAAATAAAAACTTTCAATGTTTGTTCAGAAAAGGAGAGAGATTACTATTAAAGAAGTCAGTTTGGGCACACTTAGTATGGCAGCAGTAGTACAAAAGCTGAAGGTGGTGGCAGTGATGCTGATGAGAAAACAAGTGTAGAGAGAGCCAGAGGCCATAATGACATAATGGACGCCATCCAAGAAGACCCAACAAAGTCAAGGAAGTAGAGAGAGTGTGGGGGCACCAGCTCTGAGAGGACACTGAGGCCATGTGGCCAGCACGCAGGCCTAGTGAGCACACCTCCTATTCTCTCCAACGATGTGGTATTTGGCCTCTGGTCCTCCTGCAAATCCACGAAATATCTTTACCCAACAAATATTTATTAAGCACCAACCAAGTCTCAGTGTCTTGGTTGGGGCCAGGGAAAATAATGGTGAGGTATAAATAGATATGCTTTCTGCCTTTATGTCCCTTGTGGTAAGCTAGGAAACCAAAGCACAACAGGGTCAGAAATCAGGCCAGGCCAGGATGAGGGCGAGAGGGCCTCAGGAATGAGGGCAGGAAATTGGGCATCAAGCTAGATCAGTGTCATCCGTTTCTTTGCTTCCTATGTGAATAAGGAGACAGAGAATCCATGTGAGAGGAATGTTAGCACTAACTTGCTGTGGTTGGAGCCATACTGTGATTAGAGTGAATACGCCAGGGCTCTTTAGAACTAGGATTTTGCCTAAGAACTTTCCACACAGCTGCATAGTTCATCCCTTCCAGTTTTGTTTTGTTTTGTTTTGTTTTGTTTTGCTTTCTGTGGAAGGATATGTTTTCCTGTCTTTCTTTAATATCAGTCTTAAAATGAATGTACTTGGGGAATCTTAGTTAGGTAGATGCTCTTAATAACCTAAAATAAATTTACACAAATGTATCCTAACCTTGTTTAACTGTCTGTATTAATTCTTTTGGGGTATTCTATTTCGTCTGATTTTTTTCTCTTTCTTTTTTTAGAGAAGTACTTAAGTAAGTTCTTATATTGGTACTAAGTTTATCATTTTGTGTTTCAAGGTGAACCTTCTCATTCTGATATAGTAGGTTCTGGTAGGTAAGTCCATGTTTACCTTTTAGGATTTTGTAAAATCTGATCATTTATGGGAATAGTGAAGGTCAGGCTCTGTGGTCCAGCCAACTTTGAGAGGAAAGTTTAGGGTGTGGACAGGAAACAGATGGCCAGAACCAGAAGTCAAGGGCTGCCTGAAATCGTGGTTTTTGATCTGAAGATAAAGGGCATGTAAGACCTTGGGCGAGTCCCTTTTCCTTTAACTTTCGACCTCATCTGTAGTAGGGGTCGGTGTTTTCTTTGGGGGGTTGGTGGTAATTTTCACTTTCCTTTTTCTTTGGTATTATCTAAGTTTCCTTTACAATGATCATATACTACTCAAGTTAAAAATAATAAGGCAATTTTTTATTTTATTTTTGGAAAATGTGATTCTATGACCCTACAGATTATGCTTAAGGAGATCTAACTTTCCTTTGGATTTATAGAAATAAAGAACTCAACCCCAATCTGGTGGTGGAGTAAATTAGCAAAAATAGAGTGCCCCACCCCCGCCCCACCCCAGCTCAGAGCTGCAGGTTCCTTTATTCACACACTCATTCAACAAACTTTTATTGGGCATCTCCTCGGCTTCAGGTTCTATTTTGAGCACTTAGGACAGCAACAGAATGCCAGAATTGGGAAGTGTGTGCATAATGCTTTTCAACCTTTATAGAACCAAGTGGTGATCAAGAAAGAACATTTTTATATCTTCAAATATAATATGGCCCTGGCCAGTGTGGCTCAGTTGGTTAAGTGTACTGAGAGGTTGCATTTCCCATTCCCAGTTGGGGCACATACTTGAGTTGTGAGCTTGATCCTCTGCAGGGGATGTGCAGGAGGTGGCCGATGGATGTTTCTCTCTTCCCCTCCCCCTTCCTCTAAAATCAATAAAAACCTATGTATGTGCTGTACCCCTGTAGACTGTGTGGAGGAAGAGAGGCTGTGATTTTCCATCTGTTGCCCACAAAGGCTTTCCAAATAAAAATGCCCTGTTGTTTTAATTAGTTGTTATTGAGTTTGACTAGCAGGTGCAGTTCTATTCTGCAATGATAAATAATTTAAAACTTGTACTCTCACCAGATGTTACAACCACAAGTTAAAATAAGCCAGACTCTCATACATGTTATTCCTCAGAAACAGATCTTCATGCCATACTGGCTTTCATGTGCTTGGCAATGACTCACCGCATCACGGCTGCCCTGAGACTGGTGTACACGCACCTCATTCTGAGGGTTCCAGCCCAGTCCTTTTCAAATCACCCAGTTTTCCATAACCTACACTGCAAACCTCGTTAATAAAACCATTTTCCCTTCTTTGTCCTGAGCCTTACCCTGTGCATCTTTCTGCTCTTCATCTTGTCCTGTCCTTCATTTGGCTCTCCCACTGAATCCTTCAGATGGGGATTTTAGATTGGTAGAAGGTACTTCATTCTGTCACCAAAAATATATAAATCGAAAACCTACAAAGTACAAGAGACTGTGCTGACCCATAGGGATGAGTGGACAATCCAGGCAATGTCCTGGCAGTCACCAAGCTCATATTCTAGGTGGATCAGAACTTTGTAGCAGTGATTTTCAACCTTTTAATCTCATGGCACACATTAACTAACTGCTAAAGCTTTGCAGCACACCAGTAAATATATATTTTTTTGCTGATCTGACAAAAAAAGGTATTGTTTAGATGTTGTAATTTTTTTTATTAATAAACAATCTAGCCAAAACCGGTTTGGCTCAGTGGTAGAGTGTCGGTCTGCGGACTGAAAGGTCCCAGGTTTGATTCTGGTCAGGGGCATGTACATTGGTTGCGGGCACATCCCCGTTAGAGGGTGTGCAAGAGGCAGCTGGTCGATGTTTCTCTCTCATCGACGTTTTTAGCTCTCTATCTCTCTTCCTTCCTCTCTGTGAAAAATCAATGAAATATATTTAAAAAAAAAAAAAAACAATCTAAGGGAAAAGAGTTTAGTATCCCTGCCTAAGTAGTCAGGTATTACATTTTTTTAAAATTCTGTGGCACACCAGTTGGAAATCACTGCTTTAGAGCAATCTACCAAAAGATATTGGTGGGGGGGGGG